TTTTTGTCCCACTGACCCTGAGGCTTTGGAAGACCCCAAAACTGAGGTTTTCTGTGCTTATAGAAATATTTGCAATATCTACAATAGATAAATGACTCTTATCTGAAATACATAAAGAACTCCTGCAAAATAATAAAACAGAAAGACTGATGTAAAAATGGACAAAATACATGAACAGATATCCAAATGGCAAATATACATAGAAGATCTGATCAACCTTATTGGTTATCAGGGAAATACAAATTTAAATCAAAATGAGATACCACTACATACCCACTGGAATGACTAAAATTAAAAAGACTGGCAGCATGAAATGTTAATGAGGATATGGAGCAACTGAAACTCTTAAGACATTGCTGGCGGAAGTGTAACGTGATCACCTTAATCTTGGAAGAAGTACAGCCAGGATGCTGCTCAGAAGCAAGGATGGCATGTTATCAGGAGAGACTAGTCCCTGGAAAAGAACATCATGCTTGGTAAAGTAGAGGGTCAGCAAAAATTAGGAAGATCCTCAATGAAATGAATTGACACAGTAACTGCCACAATGTGCTCACAAATTGTAACAATTGTGATGGTGCAGGATGGGGCAGTGTTTCATTCTTGTACATAGGGTTGCTATGAGTTAGAACCAACTTGACAGCCCCTAACAACAACTAAAGCTACCTCTGTTTACCCTATGACCTAGTAATTCTGTTCTTAGGTATATATTCAACAGAAATATGAACATAAGTGTACCAAAGGACATAAGAATTTCATAGCAACAGTATTCATAATATCCTCCGCCTGTGAACAACTGAAATGCCCATCAACAAAATAATGGATACATAAATTATGGTATATTCAGTTAATGGCACTCTGTACAGGAACGAAGATGAAGGCTACTGCTACCACATTATGGGTGAGTTTCACAAACATAATATTGGGTGTTTGAAGCCAGACACAAAATAATATTGACTAAATGATTCCATTTATATAAAGTTGAAAAACAGGCAAAACAAATCCATGGTGTTAGACTGAGGTTACCACTAGGAAGGAGGGTGAGTAGTGGCTGGAAGGGGATTTGAGGGACCTTTTCGGGGGCTAGAGAGCTTTGGTGGTGCAGTGGTTAAGCATCTGGCTGCTAAGGTCAGCAGTTCAAACCTACCAGCTGCTCTGTGGGAAAAAGGCCTAGTGATTTGCTTAGGAAACCCTTTGGAGAAGTTCTACTCTGTCCTATATGGTCTCTATGAGTTGAGATTGACTCAACAGACACAACAATCTGGGGTGGGGTGCTGGTAATGATCTAACTCTTGATCTGGTAGTGGTTTTATGGGTGTGTTCACTATGTGATAATTTGTCAACCTGTACACTTAAACTTAAAGAGCTCTGGTGGGCCAGTGCATATAGCATTTGATTGCTAACCAGAAGGCTGGCAGTTCAAACCCACCAGCTGCTCAATGGAAAAAAGTTGGGGCAATCTACTTCCCTAAAGATTTACCACCTGGGAAACCAATAGGGGTCACTATGAGTCAGAATTGACTCTATGGCAGTAGGTTTGGTTTTTTGTTTTAGTATACTTAAGCTCGGTGCACTTTCCCATACCAAAACCAAGCTCACTGCTATTGAATGGATTCCGACTCCAAAGGGTTCTGAAGTCATCATCAATTGCCCCCCAGCCACTTCCCTGGAGAAGAAGGGCAGGAAGGAACCACTGGTCACAAGTTCCACTAACAAGAGGGGAAAACCGGGGGGGGGGGGGAGTCCCTTTGTGGAGGAGATCACACACCCTGCACAAAAACAATCCCAAATAGAACTGGTACTGAGTTTGCATGGGAGAGGTGGAGATATTCCAGGGAGGAAATGGCAAAAGCCATCATGGAACACTCCTCTTTGATCCCACAAGGTACGTCAGGGAAAGTTGGATTTCGGTTAGCCTGGGATGGAGACATCTCTCCCCATGCTGCCACCAGAATCAGTGGATCAAAAGCAGCCAGGGTCCCCTCCGCCCCTCCCTCAGGTGATGCGTGTGGGACCCCAGCCGGGAGTCTGACCTCTTTTCCCTCCCGCCTGCTCATCCCCACCCCTTTCAAGGCCGGTACTTTATTAAGGCCGGTTCCGTTTGAGCTGAGCCATTTGCTTAGAGGAACGCGGAATCTGGCGGAAACTCGTAGTGGCGAGGCAGCAGAAGAGGAGCACTGTCCAAGAACAAGGTAGGAAGGGTTCCCTCCAGTACTGAGAGCGGATAAGGAGCGCGGGTACTGTTGTGTGAGCCCGCAGGGTTAGAGCCAGCCGACTGGCTGACTGCACAGAGATGTTTCTGGGGCTTCTCGAAGGCCAGAGGCTCAAAGGAAACAGTCAAGATGCAAGAGAAGACGCGCACAGGCGCACAAGCCTCTAAAGAAGCTCCCAGCGCGACAGGGCGGCCCTGAGGGAGGGGACACCGCGCAGTGAGTGCTGGGCAGCGGGACCTCGGGCCACTCGCCGGTGGGCGCTGGGCCCTGCAAGCTGAAGGTACCGAGACCAGGCTTCCAGATCCCGTCATTGCACTCGCTACGTTTTCCCGGCGCCCCGCCTCCGGGTCCCAAAGCGAAGGAAAGGGGCCGGGCCCAGCCCGAACCCGCCCTCTCCCCCGGTCATCTATTGGCTGCTGCCTTTGTCCATCTAAAATCTATTTTTGATCGGGGGGGGGGGTGCCACCCAGTCTGCCCCAGATCACGTTTGTCACCGGCAGCCAACCAGTGGAGCCCAAGTCCGCGGGGAAGAAGCGATTGGGGGCGAGTGAGCTCAGCCCCAGAGCCCCGGTCCCGGTACCCACCCCCGGTCCAAAGCGGTATATCCTGCCCTCCCTGGCCACCCCCCTCGTGGAAGCGGAGCGGCGGCCTCGCGGTAACGCAGAGGCGAAATGTAGCGAGCAGGGTGTCGCGGCTGGACGCTCGCCTTGGCTGGGGGTGTGGGGGGAGCACGCTGGGGCAGAGGAGGACTGCCGAGGAGGAGGAGTGATGAGAAGAGGGGGTACCCTGCACCCCCCGAGACCACGGGTCCCTGCTGCCGTTCACCAGGCGCCCCCCTTCCTCCCAAGTGAGGCGCAGGTCAGTCCTGGGTCTTGGGGCAGGGGGTGGGGGTGGCGGTGAGTGGCGGAGGGCGGGAGTCCTGGCGCACAGCGCATTTGCTGAATCTGAGTCTTGGGGAGAGGCGGGGGAGGCCACACAGTTACTTCTCGCAGTCCCCGGGTTGGGAGGATACTAAAACCGGGCTTTTCTGTCCCCGCCAGCGTGGAGGGGGTAGGACGTTCTGATTCACTTTTGCTTCTTTTATCCCAGTTTCAGGCCTGTCTGAAGTCCTTTTACTGGGAGGAGTAGGGTGAGGAGGGACTGGCTTCCCTTCCTGCGAGCCCCCTTTCAGGTTGAGCTGCCCGCCAAGAAGATGGGAGGAGGGAAGGAGCGGTTGAGTATATAGGACTAAGAAACTTCTGCCAAGGGCAGTGGCTGCTCTCCTGCTTAAGAGGTCTCCTCCTATATGTCTAGTGAGAATCTTTGAAAGAACCACCAAAAGGGAGCTCTGGTGGCATAGTGCCTAAAGCATTTGACTGCTAACCAGAAGGCTGGCAGTTCAAACCCACCAGCCACTCCTTGGAAGGAAGACTGGCAACTAGTGAGAGTCTTTGAAAGAACCACAGTGCTGTGTTTAAGGAGCTTTTAGAAAACAGAATGCTGGTGAGTGACTGATTTAATAGTGAGAACAATCCCTATAGGTCAGTTACTGGGGTTTGTTCCAGCCTTTCCCAAAGTGGAGTTGACTAAGTGTATGTGTTTAGGATACTTAAGTACCTATTCTCCCTACCTGACCAAATTCTCGTTAATTTTTTTGTTGCTGTTGTTGTTCACTTGTAAGAGCTATTCTGGTGAATCAAGCCCGGGATTCCTTCAAGCAATAAAAGTAGGGCCGTTCCATCTCATGAGGCGTGCATGGGCTTAGTAGCAAGTGCACCTTGGCTTATGTGCTTTGTTGTTGTTTGGTTGCTGTTTTGTTTTAAGAATTCCACCATCTCTAACTCTCAGTAACCCTGGAGAACAGGAGTGCCTAGGGAACTGAAGTGTGTGGGTAATATCAATAGTTGTGCCCTCTTTCTCTTCAAACAGCAATAACTCCCTCATCCCATCTGACCAGCTCATAGGGCCAGGAGCAGAGGGAGAGAAGAGGAGACAGAAGCCTGGATCCCAGTCAGTGCCTGAGCTTTTTGTAACACTGTTGACTCTCAAGGGCAGGAATGTGTAGGCCTCTGGCTATTGGCATTTGTCTGGCAAGCCTCACTGCCCGTGGAGTCCTCGTGGGTTTTTTCTTGGGCTAGGGCATTTGGAGGTCTGGGGGGTCTTTGCTCAATAGATTCTCCCTGTTAAGTTGCCTGTGCAGTTGTCATACTGTTGCTTATGTCTTGTGATATAAACAACCACCTTCCACAGCAGGTGGCTCTGTGGCAGTGAATTTGTGACTAAATGTGCAACTGACCCCACTGGGAAACCACACTTTAAGGATCCTGGGTTCATAATGAGCATCCAGAAGGGATCTCCCTCAGAACATCGCTGCCCATCCCCAGTTGCTGAAAAGACAATGTCAAGGTCTCCTTCACAGCATCTTCCCAATTGTAGGCTGGTCATGTCTTCTTGCTGTTGACTATGGTAGTGATCCCTGTGGGCTAGTGGGTTGTCGGTTAGAAGGATGGTGAGGAAAGCACTTTCTGGGCCTCCAGATGCAGCAATGCAGAATAGGTAATTTGATTGGAAAGGGGGATGCAAAAAGGTAAGTATGCCTCTCAGGGGAGAATTCTACCAGTATAAGTGTACTTTGCTGTATCATAACCGTCTCTTTCCTTTCTTCCACCTTTCCCCATAAGGTGCTCCACACAGGTTCCTGTGACTTTAAGGACCAGGGATTTGGGGAGGTACAAGGTCCTCTCAGGAAGAGAGGAGATCTCTGGAAGAGAGCAGACAGACAGCAGATTCTGCCCTGGGACCAGCAGAACCTGAGGAGCAGTGAGAAGCCAAAGGACCCCAGCAAGAAGAGTGGGAAGGAGCGGCAGCCCCAGGTTGAGGCTGTGTTCTGAAAGATTGAACTCAAGCGACAGTTCATGAAAGAAAGGCCACCTCAAAGGGTACCTCATACTTGTCTGGGCTCTTCTACTCTGGATGCCCCCTGCTCTGAGGAACCTGCTGCTGAGAACCAAAGAAGATAGGAGGCCAGATAACTTTTCCCTAAGTACAGTGCGGGCCGGCTGGAGTCAGGCATCTGCACCCCTAGTGTCTGGCCGCTGAGACTGGTGAGGAGTTTCTTGTTTCCTTCCAGGTTGTGGCTTCAGTGCTTGATGGGGCTGCCTATTGGTGGATCAGTTTTTGCAGTGCCTAGTAGGAGCAGAAAGCCGTGGGAAGAGGGCCCGCGGCGCCCAAGCCTGGGCTCACCCCAAGACTAAGTTCTTTCCCAAGTTAGAGAGGGAGAGAGAAAGCGAAAAAAAAGAGTGCCCCCTTCCCTCCTCCCTACCCGTCATGTCCTCCAAGCCGGAGCCGAAGGATGTCCACCAGCTCAACGGGACTGGCCCTACTGCCTCACCCTGCTCTGCAGATGGTCCCGAGCGAGAGCCCTTGGCTGGAACCTCGGAGTTCCTGGGGCCTGACGGGACTGGGGTAGAGGTGGTAGTGATTGAGTCTCGGGCTAACGCCAAGGGGGTTCGGGAGGAGGACGCCCTGCTGGAGAACGGGAGCCAGAGCAACGAAAGTGACGACGTCAGCACAGACCGTGGCCCCGCACCACCCTCCCCTCTCAAGGAGACCTCCTTTTCCATTGGGCTGCAAGTGCTGTTTCCCTTCCTCCTGGCAGGCTTTGGGACTGTGGCAGCCGGCATGGTGTTGGACATTGTGCAGGTAAGACCTGGGTTGGGCACCTCTTGACTGGGAGCCCAGGGCCACCTTTTCCTACTGGGAAATGATAACTCTTGGAGCTTTCTCTCCATTGTCAGAAGCAGCTGCTCCTTCCTAGAATACTGCTTGCCTTTGGATCATGTCCTTGGTTTCTTCTTGGTCTAGTTACTTTCTATAGAATCCTTGAGGAAGTTGATTAGCCTGGAGAGGTGTTCAGGGCAGTATTGCTTAACAGAAGCAGAATGGGTTCCAGAGCCCAGGCTTGGAAGAGGAGAGATGACAGAGGGTGCTTGCCTGCCCACCCACCTGGGCATTCCTCCTCTTTATGCCCTCTTTTGCCTTCACTTGGAGTTTCAAAGATACCCACAGTAACAAAGCTCAGTTTTAAATCTCCCCTCCATCCCCCTGCTGGGCAGGAATTTGCTCTGCTGCCAAGAGGGTCTCAAATGAAGTGGGAAGGCTCTTAAAGGCATTTTGTGTTGCTGATCTGGCTGTAACCTTGGCATGATATCCTTGGGGGTGGGGGTAGGCATGTTCTGTCCAATCCATGATTTGGGGGCTTAGTGTGACAAGATATGAAAGTGCTGATTATGTGACGTAAATGGGAACAAAATGTAACCAGACCTGAGCCTTTTCTCTCCTTTTTACTTTTCCCTATCGTTCATGAACCTACTCTGGGCAAAGAATTGGCAGGACTGGAAGCTAAGAAGCAGACACCATGCCATGTTAGTGTATTATGGGTTAGAACCTCCAGGTCCAGGAGATGGTTAGAGTCTTATATCTAGGTAAAAGTTGTTGAAGTGCTGTAAGGCACACTGAGCTTTCTGAAGGTGTGGGATTTATCAGACTTGATCAGTAGCGTGTATCAAATTCCTGCTGAGTGCTGGGCTCTGTCCTAGGTACTCAGAGAAATGAAAAGGCAGGAGGCAATCTGGCCTTTGCCCTTTGGGACTCTGCTTTGTGTCCCTAATGATGAAATCTCTCAGGAAGAGATGGAGCTCGACATATCTTCCCCTGTGTCAAGCTGATGCAGTGAGTCCTGTTGGCAAGTCTCACCATGCCTGTATCCCTGCAGGACTGAAGGTGGCTGGTGATAGGTGGTTCCTTCACCGGTGTCCACCTGGACCACTTTGACTTGGGCCTTCAGGAGAACTCTGCCTTTTGGTGGCTAATGAAGATAATGTTTATGCCAAAGTGCCTTATACTGCTTTCCTTCGTCCCTAAGCTGTTATCATGAGGATTTTTCCTGCATGGAGGTTAGGAAGCCAGCCAGGAGCTGGGAAGATGGGGTTTGGAATCCCTCCCCCAGTGACTGCCCTTCCTCCTAGGGCAGTGAAGGTGGGGAGGAGGGCGGTACTTGGAGGAGGAGAAATGGGACTGAGGTGACAGTTTCTCCACCTCTTCCATCCCTTTCCTGTGGTGTTGGTTCTCATTATTAAAATTTATGAGTTCTGATTTGGTGCCTACATAGGGGTACAGAACCAGGGTCCAATGGTGAACTTGGACAGAATTGTCTTATTTTCTGGCTAATGATCGCTTTGTTGTTTGTTGTTATGTGCCGTTGAGTCGGCCCCGACTCATAGCGACCCCTCCTTGGGTTTCCGAGGCAGTATCACTACGGAAGTAGGATTGCCCAACCTTCCTTCCAAGGAGTGGCTGGTGGGTTTGAACCACCAACCTTCTGGTTAGCAGTCAAGTGCTTTAGCCACTATGCTACCAGAGCTCCTTAATGATCGCAATGGGAAGCATTTGTTGGCCTCTTCTGTATGCCTATAAGGTGGGAATCATAATCATTTTGACTTTGTAGAAGGAAACCTCTCTGGCTTAGAGAGATTAGGTAACTTGTCCCTGGTCATCTGACTCCAGAACCCACACATTTAACCTTTGGGGCTTTTACCGTGGCCGTGGCTCACCAGTTGATTGAAGAAACTGAGATGAGCTGCTTTCTTGTCTTCCCCTGAAAAGCAGAGTAGACTGGAATCTGGAAGCTGTCTTCCAAACTAAGTAAGAACCAAAGTTCCTAAAGGAAAGGGGGCACAAAGACCCTGCCACACACACTCAGAAAATTGTAGAGTTGAAAAAGCCATCTGACTTTTGCCCCAAGGCCAACCCAAATCCATGAGACATTGAGAGACCTAAGGAGGGAATTCTCGAGCCTGTCTGCTGTGCCCAGCATTTGCCTTCTGCATGGCCCTTAGGTTCACCCCAAAGCTTGGGTTCAGTTAATGTGATGATAACAGCCAGTTTGTCTATGGCCCCCTTCCCCAGCCTGCCTGCTGCAATGATATTACGGATGCAGAAGGGCCAGGACATGGAACCACAGGGAGGTTCTTATTCCACATCCAGGGGAGCAAAAGAGGTGAATGACAATCTTGAACTCAAGAAAAGTAGGACAGTTTCTAAGGAGTCACATCTGTATTCCTATTCCACAGGTTAAAATGGCCTTCAGTGGAACAGAGTCAGGAGATGCCTAAGGTGTCCGCACTGTCTCAGAGCAACTGAGCAGAAGTCCATGTTGACTGTGGTTCAGATGTCTCCTTGTTCTCAGGGCCCCAGCTCTCCCCTACTATTGCAGAAGACCTATTTTTCTTTTCCTAGAAGGCCTATTTCTATCTCCTCTTATCTGCCCTCCTTTCCACTCAAAGTGGCATTAAGATAAGGGGCCAGTGTACTGGCCAAAAGTAAGAGAAGAATAATGGACTGCACTCCACTCCACCTTCCCCAGCGTGCCAGCAGCCAAAAGTGCCTGTTGCTTTGGGAAGAAAAGCAGGATTGGGCCAACTAGTGGAATTGGAAGTGAACTGGAAAAGGGGAGCCTCTTTGTGTCCTTCTGTCAGTTGTCCTAGGCTGCTGCAAAGCATCTAACTCCCTTTTTCTGCCAGCCTTTGTGAGGGATGGGAGTGGCGGGAGGTGGTGTGCAGACCTTCACCAAAATTCTCAGCTACATTAAGACAGATAGGACTCCTAAATCCTTATTTTAATTTAGGAACTGTGGTGGCACAGTGCTAACCAAAAGGTTGGTGATTCGAACTTACCAGCTGCTCCAGGGGAGAAAGATGAAGCAGTCTACTTCCATAAAGATTTACTGCCTAGGAAACCCTATGGAGCAGGTCTGCTCTTTTCTATAGGGTTACTATAGAAAACTGACTCTATGGCAGTGGGTTTGGGTTTTTTATCACTTGCAAAGGAGCCCATGAAAAGTAGACCACCCCCCACCCCTGCCAAAACAACAATATATACTCCTGGCTTTTCTCTTCTGCTGTGTGCACAGAAGAGTCTACAAAGGTGAAGATGGGCAGCACGTGGTGTAGGGGTGGGGGGTGGAAGGGAGCAGGCTGTGTCAGGGGAATGGGATTAAGAAGCATTCCTCTCACCAATGGTCTGCCCTGAGCAGGATGTTCAAATGTACATCTCTACCCCATTTGCTGTGAGGAATCCATTTACTTTTCTCACACATTGACAGTCTCATATATCCAAATGTTGCCCTGAGGCCTTTCTCCTTAGACATCTAGAAGAGGCCTAGATGAAAGGCCTAGACAGGTGAAGGCTAGGCTGACTCAAATCCAATCTGACCCCCAGTCCTCACCCTGAAAGGTGAGCTCTGGCCCAGCTTCCGAGATTCTCTGATGTCTGTCACTTAGAGCTTGTATCTAGAAATTTGAGTATTCTTGCTCTCTTTTTTTCCAAAATAAATTTTATTTTGTTGTTGTTTTTGAAGATGTACACAGCAACCAAACAAAACCAAGCATACTACCATCAAGTTGATTCTGACTCATAGCACCCCATAGGACAGAGTAGAGCGGCCCCCATCGGGTTTCCAAGCAGACTGCTTCATCGTTCTCCTGAAGAGCGGCTGATGGATTCAAACTCCCAACATTTTGGTTAGCAGATAAATGTTTTAACCACTACACTACCAGATTTCCTCTTTGGTCCCTGTAGATAGTTTTCAAAAGAGCACAATCCTCAAGGCAGACCTTTTTTCACTGTTGTTGTCGCCGTTGTTGTTGTTATGTGCCATTGAGTCAGACCTGGCTCATAGTGACCCCTCCTTGGGTTTCCAAGGTGGTATCACTATGGAAGTAGATTGCCCAATTTTCCTTCTGAGAAGTGGCTGGTGGGTTTGAACCGCCAGCCTTCTGGTTAGCAGTCAAGTGTCTTAGACACTACATTACCAGAGCTCCTAGTTAATCTAAATTATTGTTCAGTTTTAAGAAAACTTTAGGGGATATTTTGGTTTCTTGATATCTTGGTTTCTTTTTTTTTTTTTTTTTTTTAGGATTTGAGTGAAGATTTACAGAGTAAATTCACTTTTCATACAGCAGTTCACATATACTTTGTCTCATGTCATCGACCAAAATTTACAATGCAGCAGCTCCCCTCCCACTTCCTCCCCATAGTTACCTCCTCCCAGTGTCCATCCCTTCATACTCTTCGAGAGGCCCATTTTCTGCCAACCCTGTATATGATCTTGGATACACTCTCCATTTAGACATACATAATTGTTTAGCTTGTTCACCCATCTATCCGTCCCTATACCCATATTTGCTTTCATTAACAACTCAGTATTGTATTTACAAAGGGGTTCATATTTGTTGTTTGTACTGCCCATGTAACTCTCTCTGTCTTTCTCATCCTCAATGCTGCCATATTGGTCACTCACATTTGGTACATTGCCCTTCTCTTCACCCAAATCAATATTTATCTCTATCTATCTAACAGCATTCCCTCCCCTTCCCTCCCACCCCTGGTAACCAACAAAGAAAATGTCCTCCAATATATAAACATTTCCTTAACTTTTACAATAACGGACTAATACAATATTTGTCCTTTTGTGACTGACTTATTTCGCTCAGCATAATGTCCTCCAAGTTCATCCACGTTATGCGGTGTTCTGCAGATTCTACATTATTCTTTAGCGTTGCATAGTATTCCATTGTGTGAATGTACCAAAGTTTGGTTATCCATTCCTCAGTTGTTGGACATCTAGGTTGTTTCCAAATTTT